TAAATCCAAGATAGTTCAAGCTTTGGTTTGTCTTGAAGATTGGCTCCATGCACAAGGCTTTGTATTAAGTAACTTTTTTATTTATTGTTTATTAAAATATATGATTCATTGAATTTTTTTCTAATAAATTTTCCAATTGTATGCAGAGGGATCAAGCTTGTTAGGGCCTTCTTTAGGATCAAGCTTGTTAGAAGATGATGAATGATCAAATAGTAGTGATGATGATAATGAAAATGCTGAACTTGATGATATGTTTTAGGTATTATAATAACATATATTTCTGTTATTTATTTGTCATTTGACATGATAACAAATTACATATGTGACATGGGTACTGATTTTATCTCTTATTTTCTTTTGTAGGATGGCTTGGAACTTGGAAATTGGATTGTTCAATCTTGTTGGTGAATTCAAGAATGAATGGAGATGGCTAAAACATGTTTTGTTTGATATGGGCAATGAAGTGATCTTTTATTTTATTTTTTAGAATGGCTTAGAACTTGATAGTTGGAATATTCCATCTTGTTGGTGAATTCAAGAATGGATGGAGAATATGTTTTATGGATTTTGTTTGTMTTATTCAGATTTTTTTTTATGATTTTGGAGGAACGTGAACTTGAAGTTATATGAATTTAGTTTTAGTGTGTCATGCTATTTGTAGGAATATGAATCTATATGATTTGGTCTCATGTGTTTTATTTTCAGGTTTTCCTTGTCTCATATGTTTTATTTCAGGTTTTCCTTGGTTGTATAGAAACAACCAAACAACAGGTAATATAACAACCTTAAAGAATGTTGTTGATTTACTTAATTGTAAGAAAAACATGGAATTAAAATGGATTCTTTATAGGAGTTAAAAATGGATTATCATATGTTTTATTCCAGATTTGCCTTGATTGTATAGAAACAACCAAACAACAGGGAATATATTAAACAACCTTAAAGATGGTTGTTGATTCACTTGATTGTAAGAAAAAAAGAATGAAATTAAAATGGATTATATGTCCATTTGAATAGATTTTTTTATTTAAGAATGTAAAGCCATGCTTTAAAATGTAAAAGAAAGGGAAAAAAAACCATCTTGTAGGCCTGTTGCTCATTTGAATAGAAAAAAAACCATCTGAATTAAAATAGATAATGTCCATTTGAATAGGGAAAAATCCCAATCTTTTTTAGGTCGGGCTTCGGGCTTTTTATCAGGGCCAAGCTCGGGCCCAAGTTGTAGGCCCATTGGTCGGGCCGGGCTCGGGCTCGAGCCTAACAAATTTCTATTCATGAAGAGTAAAAGCCTGGCCCAGCCCGGCCCATGAACAAGTCTAGTAGCACCCATTTGTACTTGCCTTTTGTATAAACACTTTTTAGTATGGATCCTACCCCATAGTGGGTTCAAATCCTCTTCACTTGGATATGCAATATCTTAAGAGAGAATCTAATTAGGGTTGTCAATGGCCAAGGTCATCCCAAATCAACTATGAAACAAACACAAAGCAATTAAGAAATGTTTAAAGTATAAAAGCCTAATTAAATGACAAGAAAAATAACAATTTTGAATTTAACTTGCAAATAGGCAAAAGTAAACGCAACAAAACATGAAGCATGTATAAAAGAAGCAAATAAATTATAGGTTGGAAAAAAATTGTGGGAAAAAAAAAGAAATATCAGAATATGTATCACGGCCCAGGATTACAAATCTAAGTCCCTTCCAAAAAGAAAAGTGAACTCGACATTTTTATGGTAGCTCTACCTCAACTTAAACCGAATTTGACCTTATATTAATTTAAACCTAGCCCAACCATATAGGAGCAACTTTTTAGTGAACATACCTGACTTAAACCTAACATGTTTATTAATAAAATAACAAATAAGAAAATTTTAGTTTCAAAATTAAATATTATAATTTGATATCTATTTAAGTTTCATTTAGAAAAAACATCATACTACAAATTTGTGATAAAATTAAAGGATTAACAAAATTAGTTTTAAACTTAATTATTATTAATTCAAAATCCCCTAATCCATTTAAAAATAACAAAAATTAATACAAATAAGAATGTCAAAATTCTCCTTCTTGGGGTGCAAGTGGCATGGGTTAGGTTGAGGGTCAACCTAAGCCCAACCTAAGCTCATGCTTGGTCCAACTCAAGGTCAAGCCTGGGTTTACCAACTCAACACCAACCTAAGCTTAACACAACATCTCAATTCAATTTCTAGGTAGAGTATATTGATAAACATATAGGTAGGTATATCATAAAATGTTGGATAATCTCAAATTGGGCTGGATTGGCCTCAGGCTACTCGAGACCTCAATCCAAGCTCAACCTGGCCCTAGATTAGGCCCAAATATTTTGGCCCAAGCCTTAAGTTCAAAAACTTAAACTCAACTTTTACAAAAGTTTTGATTGAACTGAGTCAAGTTGCACCATAACTTATTTTTGTCTCAAATTCTTGTATGTTTTTTCAAAGTCCGGATCTCCTGCCCATGTCTACCCACAACACACTACCCCCGTGAATTGGTAACATCTCCCTTGCATAATACTATGTAGGAGGATGAGATGTTCTCCATGTGCGGCTGCGATGTTGTGTGGACAAGAGTTCCAGACTCGAAATATAGGAGATATCGTTAATGCAAGACTGCAAGGGATTGTGCGAATGGTATTAGCACGATCTTATGAGCATTAAATCCGATTTCATAGGAGACAATTTGGTTAAAGATTCTCTAAAGTCGTGTTCCATAAAGAAATGAACTAGCGAAGGGGGCCCTGTGTTGCAGGGGCTCGCTCATAAACTATCAGGCTCGAGCTCGGCTCGAGTCAAAAGCTCAAAAGTTCGAGCTCTACTACCTTTGATTGTAGGTCTCTCAAGTAGTCGAGGTGCCGAGCGAGGTTTTGAACCGAGGTCTCCCTCAATTGCCGAGGTGCCAAATCGAGGTCTCCCTCAGTTGCTGAAGTGTCGAGTTGAGGTTTCCCTATTATGCGAGGTGTCGAGCTGTGGTCTCCCTTAGTTGACAAGGTGTTGAGCTGAGGTCTCCCTCAGGCTCGGTTTAGAAAGAGTACAAATGCAAATACATATAAAATACAAAATATAAGGTTTTGCACTCTACATATTTGCATTTGTACTCCTTCCAGCCTCAGTTGTCGAGGTGCTGAGCTGAGATCTCCCTTAGTGACCGAGGTGCCGAGCCGAAGTCTTCCTCAATGGTCAAGGTGTCATCTAGCTTGAGCGTGGTTCCAATTAAAGACTTGAGCTTGAGCTCAAAAGTTCGAACTCGGCTCGGCTCGAACTCGATTACTGTTCTCCATGTGTGGCTGCTAGGGGTGTCCACTGTTCAGTTAATCGAATCATGGCACTTTTTTGTAAACCGAATCGGTGGTACCAGTTTTTCCAATTCTCCCAACCAAAACCGAACCGGTACCACCGGTTAATTGATCCGTCAGTTTCGGTTTTTGACCGGTTCGGTTCTTCGGTTTTTCAGTTTTTTATATTTATAATATATATTATACGAATATATGTATAATATTATATTATAAATAATAAATGATATATAATATATTATAAATATTTGAAAAATATATAATATATATAATATCTTTATAAATAGAT